GCCGGGCACCTCCACCTGGCTGCGGAGGAGAGGCAGCAGCAGCGAGACGCGCCTGCAGCAGGAAGGGGGTTTGGGGCGGTGCTGTGGACAGCGGGGGTTGGGGCACGGCGGGGCACGGCGAGGCAAGGCTCGTAGGGCCGCGGGCAGGAAGGGTGTGGCGGCAGGAAGGGTGTGGCGGCAGGAAGGGTGTGGCGGCAGGAAGGGTGTGGCGGCAGGAAGGGTGTGGCGGCAGGAAGGGTGTGGCGGCAGGAAGGGTGTGGCGGCAGGAAGGGTGTGGCGGCAGGAAGGGTGTGGCGGCAGGAAGGGTGTGGCGGCAGGAAGGGTGTGGCGGCAGGAAGGGTGTGGCGGCAGGAAGGGTGTGGCGGCAGGAAGGGTGTGGCGGCAGGAAGGGTGTGGCGGTGGTTCGCACTCGTCGAGAGGAGCGCCCGCGGCGGCGGCGCCGAGGTGCTTTGAGAGGACGGAGAGGCGCTGCCGCGCCAGCCTGCCCGAGAAGGTGTGGTGCAGCGTCTCCCACGTCACCTCGCTCTCGTCCTGAGCGCCGGAGGCCTGCTCACGGCTCCAGCTGTGAAGAGGCGCCCCTCCCTACCTCGGGGGCCCGCCCCGCCTGCCGGCGCCTCGAGCGCCTCGAGGAGAGCGACGTCCTCCCCCGGCCCGACTCCCGGGCGCGACAGGAGCGCGGGAGCGAGCCGGCCAACCCACGCCGTCCGAAGGTTGTTTGCGGACCGGCCCGGGAACTGCTCCGCGATGGCGTCCCAAGGGAGCCGCTGGTGCGCCGCCGCCACGTCGCTCCGAGCTAGCCCCGCCCCCACCCCCGCCCCAGCCACGTCGCGCATCGCGGCGACCGCGGCCTCGACAAGTCGCGTCAGGCGCCGCTCCTGTTCACAGCTGCAGCCGTGAAGAGGCGCTGTCCACGCCTCGACGAGTCGCGGCGAGGCGGCGCTCCTCGTCGAGTGAGAAGCGGCCAAGGGAGGCCGAGGTCGAGTAGTGCCTGTACTGCTTGTGGCATGCGGCGGGGGAGCGGCCGAGCTCCTCGCCTGCAAGACACAGCGTGGACGTGTCACGGACACGTCCTGGACGGAGAGAGGCGGCCGAGCCGAGCTTTGCCGACGTCGACCCACGGCACGTCGGCGTCGCCGAGCTGGCGGAGCAGCGCGATGTCCTCGGCCGTCCACTTGCGCGCCGACGTCCTCTTGTGGTGCACCGCCAGCACGCGGTTGCGGATCGCAGACAGCTTGCGCGACGGCTCGCCCCTCGCCTCGCTCTCGCGGTCGTACAGCTCCTTGGTCGAGCTCCAGACGCGGTGGCGTGCGCGGCTCTCCTCGCGCCGCTCCCTGCTGTCGGCGGCCTCCGCCCCCGCCGCCGCCGACGACGAGCCGGTGCGGAAGAAGCGGGCGAGGCGGTCGGCCTCGTCTGCGCCGGGATAGTAGTCGGAGAGCTGTGTCGAAAAGACCCGCCAAACCAGCGCCGCCTCGCTGTCCGACCACTTGCCCTCTCTACAGTCAACGTCGCCCGTGTTGGTCTGGCCGTCATGCCTGCCCGCACGTGGGCCGTAACCCTTCTCGCGCGCAGCACCCTTGAGAGTGCGGAGCGGGACAGGGATTGCGGCGGAGGCAGTGGGCGCGGCGGCGCTGGTGCCGCCGCCCTCCAGTCGGCGAAGCTCAGCCTCCTCGATGACGTCCACGTCTGCTGCGATCCTCTGACCCGCCCTTGGCATGGCGGAGAGGCGCGGTGGGCACAACACGCGCGCACCTGCGATGGGGTTGGGCTCCTTTGGCGGATAGGTGGTCTTTCGAAACGAGAATGGCGAAAACAAGGGCTTTTGCGCGGTGCACAGAGCATTTAGAGCGCCGAAAAAAGAGCGGGAACCATTGGCGCCTAGTCGTGCTCACACCCGTCGTGCATGCCGGCCACTGCCGCCTCCACCTTTCGCGTCGACATCGCCCTGTAGCGCGACACGGCGAGTCCGACCGGGCCGCTCAGCCGCACGATCTCTCCGATCCTCGTGAGGGTGCCGTTGCGGGCGTCCGTGTGCCAGTCGCCCTGCATCGAGTTCTCGATCGCGTAGAGCGTCTGTGGGCCCTCGCCGTCGACCAGCGCGTTGACCACGCTCCTGCTGCTACCGTGCGCCTTGAGCAGCGCGAGCAGCTCCTCCACCGCTGCCCGCCGCTCCTCGCTGCCGGCGCGCGATGCGCGTAGCACCTCGAGCAGCGTCGCCACGCGCGCCGCCGGGTCTGCTGCCGCGCCCGCCTCGGCAGCCTCTGTCTCTGAGGCGGCGGCATCCGCAACCGTGCCATTGGCGGCTGGCGGCGCGCTCTGCGCCAGAACGGTGCACCCACGCTTCACCTCCTGCAGCGAGACGCCAGCCCACTCGCTCTGCTGCAGTAGCCGCGAGTGGAGCTCCTTGGCTGAATGCCAGCCCGGGCCGGGAGCGACGCACAGCGCTTGCAGCGCGGCCACCAGGCTGGCCTCGCGATCGGCTAGCGCAAGGTTCTCCGGTCGTACAGAGAGGCCCTTGCCTTCGACAGTCACCGCGACACGGCCGCGGGATGCGTCGAACATCTTTACGACACCGTGCTTGCCGTTGAGCTCAGCCCGGCCGACCAGCGAGTGCAGCACCACTGCCGCGCCTTTCGCAGGCGGCGACTCCATACCCTGGAGCTGCGCGACGACGATTTAGGCGTTCACAGGCGGAAAAGAAAGTCGAGGTAAGCGAGGTGGATATCCTTTGGCCGCGTTCCCGTTCCCCTGTGTCCCTGATCGTCCTACAAGATCCTGCTTGTGCAGGTGGGGACCCTGTCCTTCTCCCACCCCTCGTTTGGCGTGTCCGTTGTATTTATTTATTTATTTGGCCGCGTTGGGTAGCGAGGATTGGTGTAACCCGAGCCACGGAGGCGTGTTTTCTGACGGCCGACCGTCAGTGCACGGAAATTACTTTAGGCGTGCGCGAAAGCGACCCAAACGACCCGCCCGGCAGCCCTAGCCAGGCCCCGCGCACTGGCCGCGACCGCGACCGCGACCCTCACTCGAGCCCGAACTGCCTGGAACCGTCCGACTGTAGCGACCTACGTGCTACGTCGTCGTCGACCAGGTGCTACGTCGACCAGAAGTCTATTATTCTCTCTTCAGCTCAGAGAGAGAGAGAGAGAGAGAGAGAGATGTCAGCTCAGTGTCCCCAGAAACCCCGAGGAGTCACACAGTCCACCTGTGTGATGCACGCCCTGCGAGCGGGGCGGGGTGCGCACTGTGCCTCTGTGTTCGTGCGTCGCCCACATCTCTCCAGGAGATGCCTGCTCTATTTATTTTAGACGAGTGCAGCTACACCTACAGAGTACCCGGGCTTCCCAAGCGGGAGACGTGTCGGGGCCCGCGAACATCTTTAGCTTGTGAGCCAGCAAAAGGGTTGCATATTGAGCTACACATGCTGATGTATAACTGCGCAACACATTTGTCAACCTATTTCGTATTTCCGCGGTGAGAAGGGGCTTGGGGCGTTCCGCGGGGGGGGGGAGGGTGGGGGGGGGGGTGGCGGGGCCCAGGGTGGCGGAAGCGTGAGCACCCACTTGCGACTGCTCCCGCAACGGTAGAGCAATCGTAGGGCTCCGGCAACGACGGTGGCGCGCACGGAACGTCGGGGTCGGACCGATGCGTGTGGAGAAGCCGGCCGCGGCGCGGTGACCAAAAGGGGTATGATGAAACGCACCATGATGGGGGCCTGCGAGCGCAGGGGGCAGAAGGGGGGGAGACACTTAGCGAGGGGGGAAGGCGCCACCTTTTCGCCATCTCTTGGCGGCGCGTTCGGCACTCAACGTTGTCTAGCAGCGCACCGCGCAGCGGCACACGCGGCGGGCGAGGCGGGCGTCGCTTAAGGCGTGCGCTCGCGGCGGGCAGAGGCGCGTGGGCCAGGGCGAGAGGTGCCTTGAGGGCTAGCCGTCGGAGCTCGTTGGGGGGGGGGGGGGGGGGCCCCAAAAACAGCGAAGTGATTTTCCAAAAAAAAAAAAAACCGTGGACCGTTCTGCGCGTCAACGGCTGGTGACGGTTGTGTTGCCCTTGAGCTAGTCCTTCGACCTTCCCCAATCGCCTAGCTAGCTTCTGCGCTGTCATGCGAACGTCTGTATGCCATGCGCACGAACCACGCTTGCGTGGATACGTGGCTGGCAGGCTGACCCGTGTGCGGGGCAACCCGCGCACGGGGAAGCTTCACGGGGTCGAGGGTCTTCAAACGTTAAGCAGCGGAGGTTGCCGAGGGAGGCGGCGTAAGCCGTCATCGCCCGCGGCGCTGCTTGCAGTATATGGCGATGCTAGTGGCGATGCCGATGGCGCTAATAAGAGGTTCCTCGTTTCCGCGCGCCCCCCCGCAAGGGCCAAGGCGCGCGATAGGCAAAGGCCAAAGCCGGAACCGCTCTTCACTGAAAAAACGGACGTCCGTCCGCGTCCGTCGGAAGGAACGAGGCTCGAGGAAGGAGGCCGATGAGCGAACAATATGCCAGTGGATGGCGGAACCCGGTTTCGCCGGTACCCCGCCGGCGCTACCTGGGAGAGGAGCCATCAAGGTTCAAGCCGGCGCGGAGGCGCGGTTAGCGGTGTACGATGAGACAAGAGACGTGAGCGGCACACAGGACGACAAAAAGAAAACGACGATTTCGCCGGAAAACGAATGCTTGATTACGTGTTGGTTTTCATATTTCAAATTTACGCGCGCCACGAACACAACAAAGGGTGGGGTCTGGGGTAAAAAACCGAAGAAAACCATGAAGAAAACACGGCCGGGAGAAACGGCCAACACAACCAATTCACGGATCACCCACCCGCCACCCGCACCCCTCGCAATTAGACAGTTTAATATCATATTTATATGCGCCACTCTATCCCGGTTCGCCTATTCCGCTCGGCTAGTCTTTGACTCACGCCGCAGCCTTCTCGCCCGTCAGGCGGCCGACCACGGACTGGTAGAGGGCGCTCGCCTTCTGCAGCGTGCCAAAGACGCCTCCGCCGGTCGCGGCCTCGAGGCAGTGGAAGATGGAGACGGCCGGGTCGAGCCGGTACTGCCACCCCTCGAGCACGAGCATCGACATCAGCGCGACCATCACCGTCGGGTCGAGCACGACGCGGTGCGAGCGGACCGAGTCCATGTAGGCGCGGATGTTGTCGCCCGGCCGCCCCTCCCCGCGGTCCATCTCCTCCTTCTGCGCCGTGCACTTTGCCGCAACCTCAGAGATGAAGGCCTCGCGGCCGCCCTCGCGCGCCTTTACGCGACAACAGTGATTATGATGAGCATCGTGCTCCGTAACATGATGATGATAATTGCAATGCGCGCCTCGACGTACGGCTGCGTCGGCGCGAGGCCGAGGATGGCTTTGCCGATGGCGGGCCCGTCGGTGCGCGTGACGGCGTCGAAGAAGGACTGCGCCGTGCCGAAGATGCGATCGTCGAACGAGGCAGCGAGGCCGGCGTCGAGGAAGACGATGTGCGGCGCGGTCGGCGTGAAGTCTCCGAGGAGGAGGTAGCGCTGCACGCGAGCGAGCAGGCCGAGCTGCGCCTTTGGGCGCAAGCCGGCGCACGTCTAGGCTGCGTCTCGGCTGCGTCTCGGCTGCGTCTAGCCTACGTCTCGGCTGTGTCTAGCCTACGTCTCGGCTGTGTCTAGCCTACGTCTCGGCTGTGTCTAGCCTACGTCTCGGCTGTGTCTAGGCTGCGTCTCGGCTGCGTCTAGCCTACGTCTCGGCTGTGTCTAGCCTACGTCTCGGCTGTGTCTAGCCTACGTCTCGGCTGTGTCTCGGCTGCGTCTCGGCTGCGTCTCGGCTGTGTCTCTGCTGTCTCTCGCCTCGCGGATGAGCACGTTCCCCGGGTGGAGGTCTGCGTGGATGTAGTTGTCCCAGATGAGCATCTTGAAGTAGGCCTGCGTGCCGCACAGCCGAGTACGGCCGAGGTACGGCAACGGTACGGCAACGGCCGAGGTGCGGCCGAGGTGCAGCCGAGGAGCAGCCTCTTGCTGCAAGCCTGCACGCCGCACAGCGCGACGCTCGAGCGCATGTCTCCCGCGTTTGCCGTGCCCGCGTAGCGGATCCCATCCTCCGACCCCGTCTCGCCAACCTCGATCATGTACCACGCGCCCTTGGCATCCTGCCGCCACTCGCCCACCTGCCGCTCCCCCGCGCGCGTGAGGTACGTCGCGACCGACTCGCCCTCCTGCGGGGGCGGCGGGCGGGTGACGCCATGAGGCGAGGGCGAGCCACTCCGCCGAGACACTCGTCCCTCCTCGACCATCTCGGCTGCATCTCGGCCGCATCTCGGCCGCATCTCGGCCGCATCTCGGCTGCATCTCGGCTGCATCTCGGCCGCATCTCGGCCGCATCTCGGCCGCATCTCGGCTGCATCTCGGCTGCATCTCGGCTGCATCTCGGCCGCATCTCGGCCGCATCTCCGCCCGCCTCGAAGGTCTCGACGAGCACCTCGCGCGAGACGAGCCCGGCGATCGGGCGCGGGAAGGAGACGAGCGCGCGCCAAAAGGCAGACGAAAAGTTGGCCGCGAAGCGCTCCAAGTTCTCGGCCTGTTCCCACACCGCTCGCGCGTGAGGCCGCCCCTGGCTGGGCTGTAGCAACTGTGGTCGGGCCTCGGCTCGCCTCGAGCTCGAAGTCGAGCTATATCTCGGCTGTATCTCGGCTATATCTCGGCTGTATCTCGGCTATATCTCGGCTGTATCTCGGCTGTATCTCGGCTATATCTCGGCTGTATCTCGGCTGTATCTCGGCTATATCTCGGCTGTATCTCGGCTGTATCTCGGCTATATCTCGGCTCGCCTCGAGCTCGAAATCGAGCTGCGCGCGAAAGTTGATTGCGAACTGGTCTGCCGTCTCTCCGATGCGCAGGTCTGGCGCGTACTTCGCCGCAAGCTCGCCTGCAGCGCCTTCCGGGAAGGGTCGAGGCAGGGCCTCTCTGGCGAGGGGGGCGTGGCCGCGAGTCGCCGAGTGCGCGCAGCAGCGACATGTCGAGCGAGAGGCGCTCCGCCAGGTTCGGGTGCTGCACCTGGCGACGGACACCCACCCGAGGTTCGCCGAGGTTCGCCGAGGTTCGCCGAGGTTCCCCGAGGTTCGCCGAGGTTTGCCGAGGTTCGGGCGCTGCACCTTGACTGCCACCACGTCGCCGCCTCCGCGCAGCTTGGCGAGGTGGACCTGCCTTGCGGGTGGGACGCGTCGGGGAGACACCTCCTCGACATGTCTTCGGGCGTCTCTTGCGAGGCGGGCGGGCGTGTCTCTGGTCGTGTCCTCGACGTGTCTCTGCACGCTCTCTGGACGCGTCTCTGAACGTGCCGTGCCGTGCCTGGCCGATGGAGCCCGACGCGACGGGCTTCTCGTCAAAGGAGTCGAATAGCGACCCGAGCGGCTGCCCGAAGGCGGCCTCGATGGCGGCGCGCGAGTGCGCGTAGCCGTGGGCGGGCGCTGCGTTGGTGAGCGTGCCGAGCGCCTCGCAAAAGTCCTCCTCAAACAGGTCGTACCGGGTGGAGGCCCACTGGCCCCACTTGATGCCGACCGGGCCGCAGCGGGCGAGCGCCGACACGAGCAGCGAGAGCTGCCGCTCGCGCGAGAAGGCGCCTCCCAGGAGAGGTAGCTGCTGCAGCAGGCACCACGCCGCGACGGGGCAGAGAAAGGCAAAGAGCTCGAGGCAGCGCAGCAGGATTTTGGCGAGCCGCCACAGCCCGCCGCTCGCGGCGCCGCTGCTCTCCTTTCGCGCCAGAGCGGTGGACGAGCGAGAGGGCACGCTCGCAGCTGAGCAGTCCGCAGCACCGCGCCGCTGTCCTGCAGCATGAGTGATGAGGGCGACGGCGCCAACCCCAGCCGTGAGCGCGATCGGCAGGCGGCCCGCCGGCAGGCGGCGGCTGAGCGAGGTAGCGAGCCGGAGGTGGCGGACCGGCAGCATTAACACGTATTGGACGAGGAAGGTCTCGCCGACGACCTCGCCTCGCCGTCGCCACCGACTATTTCTTTTCCTTCTGTTGAGCACTTACGGAGTGACAGGGGTTCGTTACCCAATTTAAGAAAGGGTTCAAAGAAAACATACTCACAGGAAAACACCCTCATATAAAAACAAACGGAGCCAGCGCGCTTGTGGCTTCCACTCACAAGCACGCTTTTCCACGTCTCTCGTTTTTGTGTCACGTCTCCGTCCCCGCTCTACCTAGGCTCGCCGCTCGAACCAATGGCGGTGGGGACGGAGGTGTCGCCTCCGTCCCCGCCGTGGAGGCGGACTCGAGTTCGAGTGGGGACGGCGGCTCAGATTGCTAAATATAAAAATACCAAGGGTGCTGTGTGGGTGTGATTCTCACAGACCAGCGCATAGCGCCTCGGCCGTATTTTCTTCTCATGACAAGGCTGTGAATACAAGAAGAACGAGAGCAGCCGGAGCCTCTCCGGGCCCGAGAAGCGGCAGCTTGCCTCGCACAACGAGTGCTGGAGATGAGTGCTCACGCCGGACTCGTTCGTGCGGCGGCCATGCTGCGGCTGCGTACGCGGCGCAGCGACTGGGCGTGCCAGCGGAGGAGTTCATCGACGATGGCTGCGGGCGAGGCGTATGCGCTGCTCGGCGTGCGCCCGGGCGCCTCTGCCGCCGACATCAAGGCGGCCTACCGTCGGCTGGCCTTGCGGCACCACCCGGACGTGGCCGGACCCGGCGACGCCGATCTCTTCAAGCGCATCACCAGCGCGTACTCGCAGGCGCTGCTCGAAGCGGCGCAGGGCGCGGGTGGAGCGGGCGCGGCTGCATCGGCAGGCGCCGCAGGCGATAGCCGGCGAGCGAGGGCGGGCGAGTCTGCGCGTCGTACCGCCCGCCCGCGCGGACCGTCCGACAACTTTGACCACGCGGAGTGGGACGCCGCGCACTACGGGGCGGAGCGGGAGGCGCGGCAGTCTGCGTACGCGCGGGAGCTGCACAGGCACGCTCGCGGCGCGGGAGGCTTCACCGCGAGCGGAGGGCGTCGCGAGCGTGCAGGCGCGCAGGGCGGCGGCGCTGGCGTCGGGTCGGAGGGCCGCTCGATGGGCTCTGTGCTCCTCTACGCTGGCGCGCTGTACGTGGTCTACCACCTCGTCTACTCGACTCACTTTGGCTGGCTCAGGGAGGAGGCGCACCTGCTCGAGGCGAAGCACATGGCGGACGCGGAGCGGCGGCGCAGAGCCTCGAGCGGGAACGGGTGACCGAAGGCGTCCGAACGTGTAACGTAACTCCGTCACTCTGTCTCTCTCTCTGGAGCGCGCCGCACGGCGCCGCGGCGCCCGCCGGGGTCGCTCGGGCGCCGCGATATCGCTTCTGAAGCCTCCAGAAGTGGGCCTGAATGCGCCTCTGAGCGAAAAAAAATCCGAAAAATCCCGAAAATGATTTTTGGACCGTGACGCGTGACCCCCTCGAAAAACCTCGAAAACAGCGGCGTCCCCCGCTTGCTGCGCAGCCCCTTCTGCTTGTGCATCGCGCCGCAAAATGTTTTTTGGAGATTTTCTCCCGCCTCGCAAAATGTTTTTGGAGTCTCTCCGAGGGCGAGGCGAGGTCGGGCTCTGGCGCACCCCGGTCGTGGCGACTGGCGTCCCAGAGGTGTGCAGGAGGTGTGTGTGTGTGCCAGTTAAAGGAAAAGCTTTGTACGGTTATATCGTATTCGTCCAAAAGCGGAACGGGGCGGGGACCAATCTCGTATGCAATAAAAGAGAAGAGAGAGTGTGTCAGTGTAGACCGTCTAGGTGGCGGGGCAAACGGACAGGCGTCGCACGCAGTGTGTCGCGCACCAGGGCGGGCCTCTCCCTAGGAGCGGGCAGTCGTTGGTGGCGGCAGCCGTTGCGGACTAATATATGCGGGGGAGTGTCTGCCGCCGGTCGGGCGGTGGCTGGCATGTGGGAGCAGAGAGAGAGAGAGAGTGCGGCTTCTCCAAGCTTAAAGAAGCTTCGCGAGGAGGAGGTTCCCCTTCCGTGAGGGCCGGGTCGAGGAGGGCCCGGTCGAGCAGGCACTCCGGTGGGCAAGCCTCTGGTGGGCAGCCCTCTGGTGGGCAGCCCCTCACATGATCCGCTTGCCGAGGGCGGAGAGGGCGACCTCGACGCCGAGCTGGACGGTCGGCGAGCAGGGCTTCAGGTTGGGGTCGTCCCCGTGCATCGAGGAGCGCTGCGGCGCCTCGTCGAGCCCTACTCGCGGGCCAGCCTCGGCTCATCTCGGCTCGCCTCTCCGCAGCAGGGAAAGAGGCGGCGCCTGGGTTGATCTCGACCAAGTCCATGCCCACTAGCCGGCGCGTCTCGGCCATCTCCTCGGCGATATAGTGGATCTCGCGGTAGGAGAGGCCGCCTGGGCAGTGATCAATTATCAATGATTAACTGTTAGTGGATCTCGCGGTAGGAGAGGCCGACTGAGCAGCTCGCGACTCAGACTGAGTAGCTGCGACTACGACTGAGCAGCTAGCGACTACGACGATGGCAATGAAGTGGAGCTCGGCTGCCTCTCGGCTGCCTCTCGGCTGCCTCTCGGCTGCGTCTCGGCTGCACCTCGCGCGGCGGTGCCGGTGCCGGGCGCGAAGTGCGGGTCGACGGCGTCGATGTCGAGCGAGAGGTGGAGGGGGCGGAAGCCTGGCGGGTGGTGCGAGGAAGAGGTCTTGTTGCGAGGCGGGTGCGGGGGGCGAGAGGCAAGGGGGAGGGAGGCCGTTGGGGTCGATCGCGCTCAGAGCCATCTCCATCACCTGCGAGGGGGAGAGGGAGGCGCGTGTGAGGCGTGTCCGTCGAGCCGTGGGGCGGGCGGCGCTAGAGAGGGAGCGGCGGCGGTGGGGGAGGGAGAGGGGTGTGGGGGAAAGGGGGGGGGAAGGTGTGTTTGTGCGTGGGGGGTCGCCTTAGCGATGCCGTGCTTGTCCACCTCGCGCATGGTGAAGACGTGCACGTTCGATGCGCGGAGCATCCGCCCCTCCTACGCTGCTGTGTGCCTTGCCTCACGAGCCCGCCCCCTCCCCGCGCCCCCCCCTCCTCTCGCGGCCTCTCCTCGGCGTCGATGTCGCGCAGACCGATGTACGCGAGCCTAGACTGGAAGAGTGACATCAGCGCACGAGGCAGCGGTCGCCTCTGCCGCACCCCTCTGCCCGCCGGTTCTCGCTAAGGCAGCCGGGCTCGAACCACTCGAAGCCTGCGAGCAACGCCCAAACAGTGTGGCACAGCCCCTCTCGCGCGGGCGGCAGCGAGCCGCTAGGCGCCGTCGATCCCGTTGTCGAACCAGCCGAGCAGGTGTGCGGCCGGCATGCCTGCTCGCGCACACGCGGCGCTCAGTGTGTGTGCGTAGGGGAGGGGGGGGGGGTCGCAGGGCGGGCGGGGTGTGGGCGTGCCGTGGTAGTGCGCCGAGGGGGAGGTGCGTGGCGTGTTCGCGTCGGCGTGCGCGTCGATCCAGATGACGCCGAGGTCGGGGTACACCTGGAGGGCAGCAGGGCAGCAGGGCAGGGTCAGGGCGAGGGTCAGGGCGAGGGTCAGGGTGAGGGCGAGGGCGAGGGCGAGGGCGAGGGCGAGAGTCGCGCCTTGTGCAGCGCGCAGATCGAGCCCGCCGCGATGGAGTGGTCCCCGCCGCATGTGAGTGCGAAGCGTCCTGCGTTTAATTAATTAATTAATTAAATTAAAAGTGGTCCCCGCCGCATGTGAGTGCGAAGCGTCCTGCGGCGGCGGAGGCGAGGACGGACTCGTACACGAGACGCACCTGCAGGCTCCGCATAATGTAACATACTACAATACGAGACGCACCTGCAGGAAGCTTCTAATAAGATAATAATATCATCTGGATGACGCGCCTGCAGGAAGCTTCGCGGAGGCTTCATGGACACTTCCACGCAGGGGAGGAGGGACGCCCGTCAGGAGAGCGGCGCGCCCCGGCGCCGATGAGAGGCGCGTTGACAACCTCCTCCTTCGGCGGCGGCTCCGCCTCTTCCTCGAGCGCCTGTGGGGGAGTCGGTTCCAAGTAGTTTCACGTCGGTCCCGAGAAGCGGACTCCGCCTCTTGCTCGAGCGCCTCGAGCGGATTCTGGTGGGACACGGTGCGGCGCAGCGTGCCCGGGGCGATGCCCTTGCGCCTCCGCACCCACGTCGAGAAGTTGTCTTGCCTGTTCACGCCTCAATCTGTGAAGAGGCTGCCTTCACAGCTCGGCTGCAGCCGCGCCGAGGCGTGTCTCGCATGCCAGAGTCGCCAACCCATTCGCGGTACAGCTCGACGGGGTGGTGGTGCGGTGCGGACACCTCGAAACCGAGCCGCTCGAACTCGGCCGCGAAGTCGAGGTCGCCCGCGTCCTCCCACGACCAGCCGAGCATCTCTGCGAGCGGCTGCAGGCCCGCCTCGCGAAGCGCAGTCGGGCCGAGGTCGGCGCCGTCGAGGTTCTGCCCCTCGCAAAAGGGAGCGCCGATGAATCGGATGGTGCGCATGGAGCGGAGCGCAGACAGCGACCCCTTGAAGGCCGTGCTCGGCCTCCGTCCGACTGGCGAGAGGTCGCGGCCGAGCGCACGCGCTGCGCCCTTGGTGAGCATCGTCGCGGCGGCCATGAGCGAGGTCTGCAGCACTGTGTCGTCGGGCGTGTTCCGAGCCAGAGCCTTGATGCGGCGCGTGAGCTCCTCCAGCTCCGCGACGTCTCGCTGTCCATTGTCCGACATGTTCTGAAGTGTTAGCTCGGACACCCCGGCCGGAGAGAAACCTGCAAACGCGCGCGAATTCTCGCCGTATCAACAGGTTGGCCCCCAGTCATTTTGTGGTCGATCACGGTGGTCAGCTTGTTAACCATGGTTGTGCTGCCGGTGATTTGTACCGGGGCAACGGATGCTGCAAGTCACCTTTGCTGCCGCGTCGCCTCATAGTCGAACCCCCCCCCCCACACACACACACACGCCAAACAAACAACGCTCTCGCTCTCACCTGGCAACCCTGTCTGCACGTCTCGCGCGCGCGTGAACAGGGCTCCAGGCCCCAAATGACGTGTGAGTGTTAGAGTTGTTTGGTATTGAAAATCTCTCACACGCCGCAGCAGAAACCGCTGCCGCCGTCCACAACCAGTCAACCACCGCTGACGCTGCAGCCACAACCAGAAAGGTCGCCTTGCCTCGTCGGTATACAAAATCTGCTTGGTTGGCCTGTCAGATCGCACTTTTCTCCCAGTAATAAGCTAACGTACATTCCCGTAGGAGGACTCTGCTGACAGGGTTTGCGATGAGGAGCGACCCGAAGGGTTTCTCGGAGGTATTTCAGGCAACGCCCACAGGAAACCGGTAAAAACCCTGCTCTGCAAGAGCGAGTTTTGTTGCTTGTTTGGCTTCATCGGTCGTCCCGTGACTGTCGCGCCGCCGCGTTGCACATTGGACACATGCGACGGTCGGCGCACGTGGCATCCTGAAAGGCCGCGCCTCGGGAGTCGAGCTGCCTCGACACAGCCGCGAGGGCGGACACTGGCCCTGCACGAGCCGGCTGTCCGGCGCTCTGGTGCTCGCAGCGGTGCAGCTGGAGTCGGAGACTCGACCTCCACCTCCGCCCCGCCGCGAGATCCACCGGACTGAGGGCGGCTGGAGCTGCAGCACGATCTGGAACTACGTGCTGAAGGGAGACGATTCGACCTACCTGGCCAACTTCCGCTGCACGCGGCGCCAGTTTGATGATCTCGTTGGACAGCTGGAAGCCGGGGCGCCATACATGGTGAGCAGGCTAGGCGGGCGGGGCAACCCGACACTCTTCCGACCTCGGAGCCACGGGAGGGTGCTCAAGGAAACGGAAGCGGCGAAAGCCGACGGTTGGTAGGAATGGGGCTCTGGCCAGATTTGGGCTTGCAGTTGGCCGCGTCGAGTTTTGGATCTCGACGCGTCGAGAATAGTGCGATTTTTTTGAACGATTTTTCGCTTGACCTCGGTGGGAAATCGCTATTTAAGGGCAAAAACCGATTTGCTGTGGGGGGCGTAAAAGTAGTCCACGCGTTTCTAGATGGAGTGGAGTGAACGAGAAGATCGGTCCGCGTCAGTCAGCGCACTGATCGAAGGGGGACGTGTGGTCTGTGGACTACATCTACAAGGTAAACCGCCTTTTGTCTCCATCGCGGACGGGAATATCACGGTCACGTCGCACAGGGGCGAGGGCGTCGACCGCGCTAGATGCGCTCGAGGGGCTCGATGCCGAGAATTCGCAAGTTGAGGGCGAGGACGGCGGCGGTGAGCTCGCACAGCGCGAGTCTCGAGGCGGTCACCTCCGCCGTCGGCGCGCCGAGGACGGGGCAAGCCTGCGCACAGCGCACGTCGCGGCGCGGCGTTGAGGGGGCGGAGAAGGGCTGGCGCGGGGGGCGAGCTGGGCAGGTGCGCCTCGTAGAAGCGGTTGAAGTCTCCCGCGAGCTCGAAGATGTACTCGCACAGCTTGGAGGGCAGGAGGTCGCGCTCTACGTCGGACACCACCTGGCCCAGCCGCAGCAGCTGCCGCGCCAAGTTCACCTCGGCCGGCTCGCGCAGCACGAAGCCGGCGGCCGAGTCGGCGGCCGGCGCGTCGAGCGAGGCGGCGGCGGCGGCGCGGCGCTGGATGCCGCGGACGCGCGCGTAGGCGTAGAGCATGTAGGGCGCGGTGTTGCCCGTGAGGGAGAGCATCTTGTCGAAGGAGAAGCGGTAGTTTGACTGCCGGTTCATGGCCAAGTCGGCGTACTTGACGGCGCCGATGCCGACGGCGGCCGCCACGCGCGCCACGAACTCCTCCCCCTCCTCGCGCCCCTCCGCCTCGAGCCGCGCCTGCGGGACGGGGCGTGGACGTGTCGTGGACGTGTCGTGGGCGTGTGTCCCCTCCGCCCGGAGCAGCGCCTCGACGTCGGCGCGCGCGCGGCGCAGCGCCTCGTCGAGCAGGTCGGCGAGCTTGACCGTCTCGCCGGAGCGCGTCTTGAACTTCTTGCCGTCCTCGCCCTGGACGAGCCCGAAGGGGACGTGCTCGAGCGAGACCTGGCGTCCGGGGAGAGGGTTAGGGGTTCGGGTCCGGGTCCGGGTTCGGGTTAGTAAAAGCGAGGCCTGCAGGCGGACGAGGAGAGGGGGGTGCAACCCCGTCCAGGGGCGGGGCTGGGGGGTGGCGAGGAGAGGGGGGGGAGAAGGGGGGCGGGCGGGCGACCGAATCGGGCGCGAATCCGGCCCGCCGCGCGATCTCGAAGACCTGCTGGAAGTGGAGGGCCTGGCCGGCGTCGGTGACGTAGAGGACGCGCCTCGCCTCCTCGTCCGCCGCCCGCTGGCGGATGGCCGCCAAGTCGGTCGTCGAGTACATGAAGCCGCCGTCCGACTTTTGGACGATGACGGGCAACGGCTCGCCGTCGCGGTTCGTGTACCCTTCGAGGAAGACGCAGCGAGCGCCGTCCGACTCCTGCAGCAGCCCGCCCGCCTGCGGGGACAGTGCCACGGTGTGTACAATCATCATCAGATTCGCATTCGTATTGTACTCCGCCCGCCTGCGGGGGGCAGCCTCGCCGCAAAGGGTGAGCTTAAGGCTCTCCGCGTGCCCACTCGAGCGGCGGCCCGCCTCGAGGTCCTCGAGGACCGAGGGGAGGCGCGGGTTGTAAAAGGACTCCCCTGCGAGAGGACGGGGGAGAGACGGGGGGCTGTAGAAGCGGGGGTGAGAGGAGCTTCTAGCAGGCTGTGGAAGGAGAACACACCGCGCGTGACGAGCCGCTCGTCGACTCGCAGCGCAGAGTACACCTGCCGGAAGGGGTGGCGAGGGGGGGGGGGCGAAGTGCGAGGAGGCAGGTGCGGCGAGGCAGGTGCGGCGAGGCAGGTGAAGCGAGGAAGGCGCCTTGGAGAAGGCTGCCTCGGAGGTGGCGCAGAGCGATCGCCACGCGGCGAGCGACGCCTGGAGGGTTGCAGAAGAGAAGAGACCATGGACTCGAATATGGAGGTACGAGGAGGGGCGTGAGGGGGGGGGTGCAGCTGAAGGGCGAGCGGCGCAAGTCCAGCGGCGCCTCATCGCCGCTCTGCAGCGCGACAACCTCTCTGCGCGAGGCGGCGGCGAAGTCCTCCTCCGCGTCGAAGCGCGCCTTGGCGGCCTTGTAGAAGGCGACCTGGCGCGAGGAGAGAGCGGCGTCACCGCGTCGGTCGGGCAGGGCGAGGCCAGGCCGGGGCGAGGGGCAGGCGCCAAATCAGACAGCTCCGCCTCCGCTGCACCGGACGCCACCTCTGGCGCCGTCTGCCGCAGGTGAGTGATGAGCATGCCTGAAGGCGGTGCGTGCGGTAGTTGAAGTGACGCCTCCCTCCTCGCAGCCCGGCCGTGGGGGAGGGGCTGCCGAACTGCGTCCCCCAGTCTCCCACGTGGTTGAGCCGCACCTGTTCACACCTCGACCCGTGAAGAGACGCTCTTCACACCCCAGTGCCCGTGAAGTGCAGAGGCCGGCACCACGGGGTGGCCTCGCAGCTCGAGCAGCCGCGCGAGCGTGTCGCCTGCGAGGAGGAGGCGCGCGGGGCGGAGGAGTGGAGAGAGGGCCGCCGTCGAGCACCACGGCGATTCGGCGATTCAGCGGGCGGCGGGCGGCGGGCGGCGGTATGCGGGCGGCGGGCGGGGCGGCGGGCGGTGGACGGACGGCGGTGGTCGGTGGGTGGGCGGTGGGCGAGAGCGGTGAGTGGCGGGAATGGCGGGCGGGGAGTGGCGTGTGCACCGATGATGGTGGATCGGAGGTGGCCGACGTGCATCTCCTTTGCGATGTTCGGCGACGAGTAGTCTACCACGGTGCGCAGCGGCTCCGCTGCTCGCGGGACGGCGCAGCGGCCAGAGGCGTCCGCCGCCATGACTGCCAGCTGCTGCTCGAGGAGCGCGTTGCGCAGCCTCAGGTTGAGGAAGCCCGGCCCGGCCACCTCGGGCGCCTCGCAGAGGTCGGACACCTCGAGCGCTTCCACCAGCTTCGCCGCCGCATCGCGCGGCTTCATCCCGAGCGGCTTGGCCAGGGCAAGCGCCGCGTTGCACTGAAAGTCGCCAAACTCGCGCTTCGTGGCCACGGCGAGCATTGGATCGCTGGAGGCGTAAGACCCGCCAAACGCGGAGCCCATGGCCGCCTGCAGCCGCTCGTGCAGCTGCGCCATCAGGTCCAGCGTCTCGTCCTCTGCCGCTGCGGGCGCCGCAGAGGAGCCTGCGGCAGCGGCAGTCATCGACGTTGCGAGGCGTGGACCGCCAGCGCTGCGAACGGCACGAAGCGCGACATTGCCACGAGGCACCACTGCCACGAGCATTCCAGCGAGCAACATGGAGAGATTTTTGTGTCCTTGAGACGTAGGGTACAAGTCTTCTTGTGGCGGTGCGGCGCCTGCACGTGCCACGTCGAAGTAGCTAGTAGGACCGCCTCCTTTGCGCGACGCCGGGAGCGGCTCAGACGTGTGTTTTTCTTCCAAATTTGCTGCACAGGCAAGGGCAAAGGCTGCGCTGGCGTAATGTGCCGACGAGAATGGCGACACATTGCCGACAAAAACGCACCTGCTTTGTATTTCAACCAGCACGCTCACCTGCTTTGCCGTTAGCTCATGTCTCAAGCCTCAAGCGTCATAGAGGCCCCGCCAGCTCCACCTCAAAAGGGAACGGCCCTCCTGTTCCATTCCTCTCCCACCACTCCTCCGGGTCGCCGCCCTCCTTTCCAAGCACGCGGCGGAGGCCCTCCAGCACCGCGGCCCGATGCGACGCCGGCACCACCACCGCCCCCGGCGCAGCAGCCTCGCGCTGCCTGCGCTCCGCGCGGTGGTGCCGCGCAATCTCTGAACCGACGCTGTTGGCGTCCGCAACCCAATTGCGCTTGGATCCCGACCCGGCGCTGCCGACCGTCGCTGCTGTCGGGGCGGTAACGAACGAGCCGCCGCTGCCTGCCGCGCACCCGCTGTGCAGCACCACGCCGTGCGGGATGCACCCGGCCTCGCCGCCCGCGCTCGCCGCCGGCTGCTCCATGCGGGCCTCGTCTCCCCGCGCCGCCGCTTCCTGGCGGCGGCAATCCTCCGCATCTGCCCCTCCCTTCGCCTCCCACGCCTTCCTCATTAGTTCGACGTTGTTTCGCCGCGGCGGCACGAGGGGCTGCTCCGGCTCGACGGGTCCTGCACCGCCCTCGTCGGCACCGCCCGGCGCCGGCAACACTGGGCCCAGCCCCACGTCGCGCAGCTGGTCAAACGACGCCACGTACTCGACGGGCGCGGCCTCGTCCGCCGTCAGCTCCTCCGGCTCGGGGAGGCGAGGCAGCACGCCGGCGGCGGAGCTGCCGCCGTTGGAGCCGCCCTCGGCGGTCGGCAGCGCCTTGAGCCGCAACCAGCTCCTCGCGCCGCCGCCTTCCCACGCGGTGTGGCCGAGGACGAGCATGGCCCGCGGGGTTAGCTCCGACCGCAGCCACACCACGTCGCCCGCCGCAAAGGGTACCCTCCCGAGCGTGTTGCGTGCCGGAGGCGGCGCAGCCGCGGCTCCTGTAGGGGGGGGGGGGGAGGCGCGGTCGTCAGCAGGGGCGAGCGCCTCCTCGCACCCACGGCGGGGAGACGGGCGCGCGCCTGCCGGCTCCTCTCCGTCGCTCGCGTAGGCCTCGCCTCCCACGCCCGTCAGCGCCCGCATCTCGGCCGCGAGCTCGAGCGCCTGCTCCTTGCTGACCGCGCCCGAGTGGAGGAGCTGGCGGATGCAGTCCAAGGGCGGCCGCCAAGCATTCTCGTCACAATACCACGAGAGGGCGCGGAGCAGGGTCTCCCGCTGCGAGGCGTGCCCCGCCGCCTCCATCGCCAGCCACGCGTCGCGGAAGCCGTTGTGCAGTGCGGTCACCGCATCCTCCTCGAGGAGGAAGGGCTCGCCCGACGGCTGGGGCTGGAGGCGGAAGTGGCGGGTCGTCCTGCAGCCGCGATCCCCCCGGAGGGGCCACGTCTCCTCGAGGATGAGGTGCGGCTGGTGCGGGCTCGCCCCCCCAGGCAGCCGGCCGGGGCGCAGAAACACCACGCGGCCGACCTGCAGCGTGGCGGTGCGAGGCTTCTTGCGCGGTTTGGCTCGCAATGCGTCGGCGCCGAGGCTCGGGGCCGCTCCCCAGGACGGCGCGCTGCTGCTGCTGCCGCGGGGCGGCCTGATGCTGTACTTCTTATTGCGGTCGTCCAGCCGCACGTGGAGGGCGACGAGCTCCTCCTTGATCCGGTCCGCCTGTGCGGATGTGTCGTGGACATGTCATGGACGCGTCATAGATGGGCGGAGGCTCGATGATAGGGAGATGTCATCGAGCCTCCGCCCACTCGCGCCGCGAGCGGAGCGCGTCCCGCCGCTCGAGCAGCTCGAGGACCCGCAGCAGGGTTGGGTCGGCTCCCACTGCCCCCCCGCCACCGCCTCCGCCGCTGCCCGCTCCCTCGCACCCGCCGCTGCCCGCCCCCTCGCGCCCGCCCGGACCGCTCCCACTCGCGCCGTCGCGGGAGGGCGGAGCGCCGCTGCCGCGGTCGCGCTCGGGCTGTGCGTCGCCGCCGAGCCGAGCTGGCTTCGACGCCGCCTGGTCACCGTGGCCCCGCCGTCTGTGGCCGACGGCGAGCCTGCTCGGGTCCCGCCTCTCCTAGGGCGGCGCGGGCAAGCACTTAGAGAGAGGTGGGGGGGTTGTGGAATGGGGGGCGCGCCGGCGCGCCTGGTCGAGGAGCCGCTGCAGCATGGCCTTGGCCTCGCCGTCCGTCAGCTCCTTCCGGACGAGGGGCGTGATCTGGCAGATCCGCACCGTCCAGTGCCTGCGGGCGTCGGACAGCGGGCGCGAGACGGGGTGCAGCACGTCCATGTTGCAGCAGGCGAGGTCGGGCGAGGTGTCGAGCTCGACCTCCCGGCCGCGGTACGTCTTGAGCTGCTTCCTCCGGCCGAGCAGCCGCGTGTCCCACAGCGTGCGCGTCGCGTACACGTGCGGCGACACAATCGCCTCAAACAGCCAGCCGCTCGGGCCGCGCTCGCCAAAGATGGCCAAGAGGAGCGCGTCGCTCAGATCGGACAAGGAGGGGTACGTGCGCGACTCTCGCAGCGCGCGCCGCACCCGCTGAACCGCCTCGTCGCCCAGCCGCTCGGCGAGCACGCCGACGGGGTCGAGCTCGATCACGCGGGAGGTGCCCAGCACAAAGAGGTCGTAGTCGACGACCTCGACGATGGCGAGGGGCCGCGAGCCCTCCGCCGGCGGGGCGGGGTCGAGCGACCAGCAGGGGTCGGTCGCGTCCGAGGGGAGCCGCCCGGGCGGGTGGGCGCGCCAGCCAGGCGGCTCGGGGAGGTAGGTGTAGACGGAGGCGGAGGGCCGCACCATGTGCCGACGTGTTTCTTTCCGAGCCAAAAAGAGTTGACCCTCCGGGGCGGCCCCGCCCCTGGGGGCGGGTTTGGTTCAAGGCAGGCAGCGAGCCGAAGCTCACACGCTGCGTGTGACACGGCGGACGAAAAGGAAACAGAGGCTTGCTAGGAAAGCTGACACAGACGATACTATCAGCTTTTTTTTTTCGAGGGGTAGAGAGATGGAGCTGCGCGACACTATCAAGCCATCTCCTCCCGTCTACGTGCTGCAGCAATCGTCCTGATGCAACCGGTGTGAATACGGACAAAGAAGAGTCGGGACGGAAATATTTACCTATGAACACACCAGTGTTGTGCCAGTGAGGGAGGGCGAGACGATCGGAGGGGTCCCGTACCATGCGGAATCGACCCTATCAAGTGCTCAAGTGCTCAAGTAAGAGGAAAGAAACCTCGCGCTGATGATTCGGCTGCCGCTCGCCTGGCGGAGCAGGACTCGAAGGAATGCTAGGCAAATGGATGGTGGGTCATATGTGCACATACCGCATTTTAGGTGCTGAACCGCTTCGTGCACCCCAACCAGTCTCCCACGATGCAACTTTGTCGGAAGGCCCCCGCACGGGGGGTCCCGGCCGACGTCATGCGCGTCTGGACACGGCCCTCCGTACACGGAAACAGGGTACCGGAGGCATTCCCGAACTCAAAACAGGGTACCAAGGGCAGATATGAGCTCAGCTCAGTGAGATCTAGCAGCACATACCCTTGGTACCCAGAATAGTCCAGTCTGAAAAAAGTCGGTCCGACCTCGCGGAGCCGTCTGGCTGTCTGCAGAGCCCCCGCGGCGCGCGGCACGCCTGGTCCTCTCGCGGCGACGAGGAGGGAGCGAGCGCCGAGAGCAGCGTCAATCCTGTGTGCGAGGGGGAGGAAAGACACTTATGCTCGTAGGTCAGGGAGGCGTAGATGGCCGGGATCAACCACCTGCACTCGGATGAGCCGCAGCCTAATCTCCGCCGTCGCTGCAGCAAGCAGCAGCTTGCCAAAGCGCAAAGGAGCCGCCAGCGTGGAGTATAGATGCCAAAGCCCTGCTCCATGGTGTTCGCCACCGATACGCGAGCCCCACTTTTCTTGCTGCGCACTCTCATCTATTTTGTGGACGGGACGTAGCCTTCTGGCACGGGCAAGACCTCGGCTGGCACGTAGGAGGTTGAGGTCCGGGCTCCCCTAGTCCCATGTTGACGACACCAGTAGACAGCTCCTTGCCGAGCATTGTCCATTGATGTGCAGAGGGCCTGGTAGATGACTGGACCAAAGCACTGCACACTGGAACCAAACACTGCATGCACTTGCTCTCTTCCGGCCCCGCTGTGCTCTTGGAATGCAGCGTTGCACGGCACAGGCAGTGCGGCAAACGGTGATGCTCGGTCATCATCGCCTCCGTGCTTGTCCCTGCAGCCATACTGCGTCAGTTAGTGGCTAGGGATCCTTTCCCGGGAGTGAACCAGCGCGAGTGACTAGCCGAGAGGAGAAGAAGCGCGCCCACACAGCGCGAGAGGCGGTTTCACAGTCGAAGAGTCGGTACATCCGAACAAGCTACCACGCGCCTTCTCAGTGAGGCTTCACCGTCAGGCTCCAACCTCCAAGCCACCATGACGGGCCGCGGTCAGCATCTACCGCAAGCGTGGGGTCTGGTGAGGGCGATCGTGAGTGAGCCCGCAGGTAGGAGGAAGCGTCAATGGCCATTCCTGCAACCACCGCAGGCTCCCAATGTAGCAGGGGTAGCGTGTGAGAGCGCACCGGGTCCACCCGTCGGACGTTTTGAGGCGGCCTCTCCGGCCTATCCAGAAGAAGTTACCGAAGCACGCCCAGAAAGAAGAATTTAGGAAAAGTAGCCGGGTTGACAGGCGGGCGACATTTGACGACGTCGGGGATCACAATGTGACGACCAAAACGATCTCAGGGGCCAGGGTGAGACAACAGGTCGGGGTGCCACATGGGGCGCACCACAGGCGTATTCTAGAGGGAGAAAAGAAACGGGGAATGCGGGGCCCCGCCACGAGAAGTGCGTTCTGGGGATGCAGAGCGTGCAAGGCGGCTAGGGATGAGGCCACAAAAGAGGCGCGCGAGGCAAGGAGGAGACGCGGGGAACGGAGAGACTGGGACGACTGGACACGAGAAGACAGTGTCAGTGTACAGTGAGCCACCACAGGCGTCGTTGGCGCACATACGCTCGCGCGGGAGAGTTTAGCCGCGAACGGGGCCATGCTCTGACGGGCTCGCGAGCGGCGCGCACCGCGGTACAAGCCGGCGCGCGGCGGGCGCTGGGAGCCTATTCACAGAGGGGGCACTTGGAGGGCTAACGGGTATTTTTTCGCTTCGCTGCGCGGCCTGGGAATAGGTAGGTAGGTGGGGCACGGAGCCTGGCGATTGGCGCCCGCAATAGGTAGGTAGGCCGGGCGTTTTGGTGCGAGTCATAGCGCACAGACCCCCTATCTGGCTAGGAGCCGGAACCCTGTAGGACTGGAGGACGGCGCTCGCTTTGCCGTGGCGACCATGGAGAAGGGACAGGTCGTAGCCTGTGGCACCGGCCTGTCGACGAAGATCGGCACGGTCGTGTACTTCGACCGCAAGAAGCAACTGGTGCAAGTCAAGTGGATGCTAGGGTCGGGCGCGGACTCGAACGACTTCTCCGAGCACAGCGTCGGAAAGCAGTCGAAAGGGAAACGCCTCCGCGTCGCCACACCCGTCGACCATAGCGCGTTCCGCGAGGCACACTACTGGCGTCCGCGCCGCTCGCCGCGCGGGTCCGCACCAGCGGTGGCCGGCGAGGCGGCTGGCGAGGCGGCTGGCGAGGCGCCTTTCGGCCGTCCCGCAAAGGGCGTCGCGTCGGCGGGCTGCACCCACCCGCCGTCCCGAGGCCACGCGCCAGCCGAAGAGTGCGACGATCCCGAGCGCAGCGCGGCCAAGCGCCACAAGCTCGTCACGAAGCCGTGCCAGCTGGGCTCGCCCTCTGGAGCGGCCAAGTCAAAGCCGCGTGCGGCGGCAGTGTTGACCGCGCCGCAGCAGCCCCTCTCCCAGGCGCTCCCCCTCCCCGCCTCTCTCTTGCCGCCCCTCGCCCCGCCGCCGCCCCTCTCTCTGCCGCCGCCCCTCGCCCCGCCGCCACTCCTCACGCACACCGCACCACCGCCTGCTTGTAGTTGGGCGACAGCAAGCGGCGGCACGAGCTCGAGGAGGAGGAGGAGGAGGAGAAGGAGGACGTTGAGATGAGCGAGGCGGAGAGCGGCGACAACGTCGTCGGCAAGGAGCTCTCGATCGAGCAGGAGGGGGGCGGCCGCCGCGTGGCCACCGTCGTGGCGCACTACCCGAGCACCGGCCACCACCGCGTGCGCTACGCTGACGGCAGCGGCGGCGCCGAGGACAGGGTGCTGCTCAAGGAGGTCAAGTGGGACTACCACCGCAAGCAGGACTCGGACTCGCCCCCGGCGGTGCAGGACTCGGACTCGGAGGCGCCTCCCCGAGGCGGCGCGTGCTCGGGTGCTTGCGCATGACGCGTCCGTTGCGTGTGCGCCGTAGGGCCTGCTCGAGGCGGCGTGCTCGGGCGCATCGAAGAACGCGCCGCCGCAGAGGTCGAGCAAGGGCACGGCGCGCAAGAGCGCTGGCAAGGAGCCCGAGCGGCGCAAGGGGCTCGTGCACCCCCTTTCCTCCCCACATTCCCGCCCCAAACGCTGTCCGTATCTCCCCTTCTTCACACGAGGGTCCGATTCCGTTGGGATCCTTTACCTGTGTGTCTCCCGGGACGCTCTTTCCGAATCGTGTCGGTCCTTCGAACACGCCGTACGCCACCTCACACTAAGAAAGAAAGAAAGAAAACAGACAACCCAAGGGAGAGATCACACGAGAAAAAAGAAAGAAAACAGACAGCCCAAGGGAGGGATGGGAGGACGGCACGCCGCCACCACACAGGGATTTTAAGGAGAGGTGTGTGATGCGCTAGCCGTCGCCCACCCTAGGGAGTCTGCCTCTTCCTATCTCTCTTCGCACGAGATGCGCGTTATTATCGCGCTTGAAAATTCTTTCCCGGCGCGCAACACGCAACACACAACGCACAACACACACACACCCCGCACACCGCACACCACAACAACACACAACACACAACAAGTGCTCGGCCTTTTCTCCTGTCCTA